CCCTACTGGTCTCCTACAGCACAAGTATTATGCTCAGAGTTCATGAGATTATCAACATCCAGAAATTGCAGATTTTGAAGGCTTTTCTAAGTTTTTTTTTGTCTGGTTGAAACAAGAAATCTTTAGGTAGCCTCCTCCTACCCAAACATAATAAAAACTAAGAAGTATTTTAAAATCAGTGCCTCCTCCTATTCCAAAGTGAAGGACCAGATGCAAATATGAAAATATCAAATTCCTCATGCGGTCTAACAACCGAGAAATAACAACTAGAACATGAAGAGGGAGATTCAGAGTACTATACCTGAGAGGTATTAGGCCAACTTCAAAAGCAGAAGGCGGCAGCATCCAGATGTTTACTAGCCCTTACCTGCTCAGGTTACCATAGTTTCTATATCCAATTAAGAGAAACCACCCCACAGCAGTTTTGGGATACCTGCATCAGCTTTCTCCCTCCCTCCCTCCCTCCCACCCAGAGGTGTCCACACACTGCCTGCCCGCCTCTTGCCACCTGCCACGAACGGTGGTTGTGCTTTCTCAACAGTTACCCACTATCAGCCCAGATAAGCTGTAGGCAGTGGAAAACCTGCCAGGGACAAGCCAAAACATCCAAGCGAAGACAACCGAGCTGCAAACAGAAACCAAGGACCTATACCTGTTGTCACTCCCCTCCAAGTCAGGTGCAAAGGAAACTTTATACGGCAGCCGTGCCTAGCACCAGCTTACTAGTGGAAATTAAGGCAGACTCGGGGCAACTTCTCTTTGCTGACACCATACTTGTTCAGCCCATTGGTGTCACAAATAACAGAAATCCACACACCAGAGGCAGCTGATGCTACAGTGAAGAGCGCTGGCAGCTGCTGTCACAGCCCTGTGACCAGCAGCAGTGGCATCAGATGAGCTTTTTGAAGAGCTTCCTGCTGTAAGCAGATCCTAAGGTAACAACAGAGGATCCCTAGCATCCGGTTGAGTTCTGTATTTTTTCATCCCTCCACAAGAGAAGCAGCTACAACTGCTAATTGTCCTTTCAACGCTTGCCTGCAATGAGCATTCAAGGGCCAGGGATAGAATGAAAGCCATAAGAACAGACACAGAAGTGACAAAAAACCCTAAGTTCAAGAAAAGTAAAGAAGAAAGGAAACCAAGGAACAACATTCTCCTTGTTATTTTTATGCTCTTTTTCTATGCTGCTGTCCTGGTTTCAGCTGGGATAGAGTTAATTTTCTTTCTAGTAGCTGGTATAAGGTTATGTTTTGGATTCAGTAGGAGAAGAATGTTGATAACACACTGATGTTTTCAGTTGTTGCTAAGTAGTGTTTAGACTAAGTCAAGGATTTTTCAGCTTCTCATGCCCAGCCAACAAGAAGGCTGGAGGGGCACAAGAAGCTGGGAGGGGACACAGCCAGGGCAGCTGACCCAAACTGGCCAAAGGGGTATTCCATACCATGGGACTTCATGCCCAGTATATAAACCAGGGGGAGTTGGTTGGGGGGATCGCTCCTCAGGAACTAACTGGGTATCAGCCAGCAAGTGGTGAGCAATTGCATTGTGCATCGCTTGTTTTGTATATTCTCATCCTTTTATTATTACTATTTTCATTTTATTATTATTATCATTATTATTTTCTTCCTCTCTGTCCTCTTAAACTGTTCTTACCTCAAACCATGAGTTTTAGCTTTTTTTTTTTTTCCAGTTCTCCTCCCCATCCCATTGGGGGGGGGGGGGGGGAGTGAGCGAGCAGCTGCATGGAGCTTAGTTGCTGGCTGGGGTTAAACCATGACACCTCCATTTCTCCAAAGTGGTGCAGGACCCAAAGACATTAAAGTGAGCCATAGACATTTGTCATGGCCCATGGAAGCCTTGTCACTCCTTCCCCTTCCCAAGCCTTTAACTATTTCCTCCTGTTAATAGCACAGCCCAACCATTTCCCCCCCCCCCCCCAACATTAACCCCAAGTTAACCAAGGGCACAATTTCTTGTTAAGCAGGTGGTCCATGACACGAGACATTTGCAGTTTTGTGAGCATCAGCACAGACCACAGGACCAGTACAGCTCAGGACTGAGACAGCACTTCACTCGCCACGCTAGTCTGCTCTCTGCCAGTCCCACAGACTGCTACACGCCAAGCCTCCTGAAATGCTGCTAACGTGTTCTTGTCAACAAAGAGGGCAACTGAGGAAGGGTCCCTTTGGCTGAGCATACAAACTCCCTCCATTTAGGAAGACGTAGCCCAACCATTCAGTCTAAGAGCTGATGGTATGTAAGGTCAAAATGCCACAACCAAACCTTCAAGGCAGAAAATGTAGGAAGGGGATGAAAAACCCTTGTTACTCACGAGCAAGTCTGGGTCCTGCAAGACCTGGAGAACTTGTGAGGCTCGGTGATCTTTCCTGGGTAACTGCGTAAAGTGGCGCTTGGTAGAGGGACAATCAGAGAGGTGGGGAGTCATACCTGGTCATCTGCCTTTCCCACCTCCTGGCTTTATTCTGGGCAGGAGGGAGGGGGAGGTTGAGATGGAAGAGAGAGAACAGCCTAAATCCGTGACTTCCATGAACCTCCGCTGCCCTCCAAGCCATGGGGGCAGACGCAGCTCCCCTGGTGCCCTTCCTTCCCCAGACTGCAGCCCCGCAGCAGCACAGGAGCAATGCCTGCTCCAGGCCACAAGCAGTTCGCCAGTGCTTCAGGATGACCAGGAAGGGCAGTGCTGTGCAGCCTTCCTCAGAACAAGCCAGTTCAAATACCTTCCTTTGAAACTCAGGGGAGGATGCTTTCCCTATGCATTTTTCTTAGCAGGTGCCACAGGTTGAATGCCGTGATTTTAAAGCCAAGCGCATTCTTCCTTCTGTATTTTATCCTGCGTGGCTAGATTTTGCAATTTATTTGAAATACAAACTTTTCAAGCCTAAGAATTGGGTGATTTATTCCACTTTCTTTTTTAAGGATGCTAACACTCATAGCTTTAATGCTATTCATCTTGCATTGAAGTTTCTGAATGATTTTACTATTCATTAAAAATTGAATCCACACAGAAGACAGAGGTAGAATGCTAACGCTTACTCAAGCCAGAATGCATTTTTAAATTGTCCTTAGGACAATTATTTACACGAGTTTCCCCGAAACAGTTATCCATTTGAAATCTGACAACTTCTGTGCTCCTTCTGAAGCATTAAACTCCATAGAGTTACTTCTAATTTACAATGCTGCACAGCACCAGCACCTCTGAACTTCTAATACAGAGTCTGCTTGCTTTGTTTCTTGCCCCAGGAGCAAGGAAAACAAGCTGATGCAACGGAAGGGTAACACTACTTTTGTTAAACCTGCTTACTGCCAGGATACAAGTCAGATGACATTCAGCAGCAGTACACCTTGATGTAATCAAACCCAAGCTACCAGGAAAAAACAAAAGTTTTGCTAACTTGTGGTTCCCAAACTACAAGCAACTCACATGACGATTCACGTTCGCAGAAAGATGTTTAACTGAATGCCAATACATTCCAGAAAGCCAAAATATTAGGTAGAAAACCTGAAGATCTGGGGGGCCCTACTACAAAAGAATTAATATATTTCCATCATGGTTCATTTCAGCGGAATGTTGGCAAGGATTTAGACTCAACCTTGACTGCTGACTACCCAGACATTATAGCATTATGTGAGTGCTGGGAAATCTACAGTGAAACTTACCGATTAAAGACAATTTTTTTTTTAATTACATTAGCATTACATATTTCCTTGAAAGGTACACGCCTTTGATAAAGACGGGGGGGGGGAGAGGAAGGAAAAAGGAAAAAAAAGGAAAAATGCAAATATGCACCAGCAGCACAGGAATTAATGTAAAGCCAGCCATCCTTTTAGGCAACATCCTACCTGAAAGTAATCACAACAGACACTCCAACAAAGGAACCGTCCTGGCAGGAAATAATTATAGCAATAAAGTGATTACGTATCTTGGGGTCTCAATATTGTGAGACCAAGACCAGCAGAATCAAAGTAACTTTCTTTTTTTAACAGCATTTAAATACAGCCTGACAGGGAAGAACGGGAAGTTTAGAACCAACAGCACCTTCTTCCTCTTGTGAGAAAGTGCACGTCAGAGCCCTGGCTAACCCTCTGCTGCTACCCAAAGCATTAAGCCACCGTTATCACCACCCCATAATTCCTAACGTTAATACCTCCTTTGCAGCTATAGGAAGTACCTCCGTAAGCGTGGTACCTCTCTTCGTTTCCCACACATGCTTTATAGAAGAAAGCGTTTCAAAGGGCAACACGCAACGAAATTTCAACGTTGCGCTCCTTACGCGGGGCAGTATTTTGCTTCAGTAACGGTCCACACCGGCCTGGCAGTACCAGCGCAGACAGTTCCCCCGGAGCAGCTTGCTCGGCGGGGGAGTACGAGCAGTATGACTTGCACTGCGAGTGGGAGTCCCTCTGCAGCCGCTCACCCACGTTCACACTTACTTCCCCGCGCTACGCGTTCCTCCAAGTTCCACGAAAGCCTCAGTTAGTCCTTGCCAAGTCACAAACGAAGGTGACTTGGCCACCGCGTTTGTGGCTAGCCCTCCCGCTCCTCGTGCTATCCAGCAAAGCAAAAAGTTGCCTTAATCCAGAGACTTCCAGATCCCTCCTCCCGATACGCTACGAGCATCTCGGATGCTATCAGCATCCCCAGTGCTGACTGACTTCACCCGTTTACGTGTCCAGCGCCCCGCGGGGCAGACGAACGCCCCAATTCCCAGAAGTCTGGGGCAGAACAGCAACTCGCCCCAAACTTTCGGCGCACCCGCGAAACGCCCCCTCCCGTGGCGGCAGCTGCCCCCC